CATCCACCAATTGATCAATGTTTGGTAGAGGGAATGGATCCATAGGGCATGCTTTGTTGAGATCAGTGTAGTCCACGCACATGCGGAAGGTAGGGGGCTTCTGTGCGAGGACTACATTCGCCAGCCATGAGGGGTATTTCACCTCCTTGATGTGCTTGATTGAGAGGAGCATGGCGACCTCCTTCTTCACGAATTCCCTCCTCTCGGCGGAGAGGGGTCTCCTTCGTTGTTGTACTGCTTTTGCCGAAGGGTCCACCGAGAGGCGGTGGGTGATGACCCTTCGGCTGATTCCCGGCATGTCCTCCGGCCCCCATGCAAAGACAGTGGAGTAGGCGCGGAGGGCGTCGGTGATACCGGTCTTCAAATCTTCAGGGAGCTGGGCTCCAATCTTCACGACTCTCTCCGGCTGGGCCGGATCGAGCGCAAAGTCTTCTACGTCCTCGGCCGGTTCAGCCCTCGGCCTTCTTTCCTCTTGGTCGACGGCTCCGGTGATGGTGTCAACACGGAATTCCGTCTTGCTTACCTTCTTAGTGACCTGAAGATAGCAGGCGCGGGCAATTTTTTGGTTCCCCCGGGAGTAGCCAATGCCCCCCTCGGCGGGAAACTTGAGGCAGAGATGCCTCATGGAGATGATGGCTTCGAGGTCCTCGAGGGCTGGCCGGCCGAGGATGATGTTGTGGGCGCAGTCAATGTTGACGACGACGAACTCCACCTCGAGCTGGGCTCTATGGAGCCCATCGCCGAAGATCACCGGGAGGGTTATTACCCCTTCGGGATCAATAGTATCACCGGTGAAGCCGGCAAGAGGGGTCTTAATGGGCCGAAGGGACCCCCTCTCCAGATGCAGCTCTCTGAAGGTGCTGAGGTACATTACATTGACGGAGCTGCCCGTGTCAATGTAAGTTCGGTGAATAATGGTGTCGTTGATCTCCGTTCGAATCACCAAAGCATCCCTGTGAGGAGAAGAAGTAGGAGGGAGATCTGCGTTGGTGAAGGTGATGGGTTCCTCCCTCAATCGCTTTACCAGGGGCATATGAGTGACTTCCCCCACGTAAAGCGATTGAGCCCACTTCTTTCGTTGGCTGGTGGAATCGCCCCCTGTATTGCCACCGGTGATCATGAGGATGTGGCGTTTCTTTTTCCTGGTAGTGGGGGTACTCCTCCTCCTCTTCTTCCAAGTTTCCGATCTCCCTCTTCTTGCCGAGGGGGATGGTGTTCGGATTTACCCAGGCATTCACCTTCGTATGGTGCCCTCGGGGAGGTCCCTGATGAGAAGGTCCCTCCTGCCGAGGGCTCTGGACAAATTGGGACAGGTGCCCCGCCTGTATTAATCTCTCGATGGCCGTCTTCAGCTGATGGCAGTCATCGGTCCTGTGCCCCTGGTGCCGATGGAAGCGACAGTAGGGGAACTGAGGGTTGATAGCGTGTACCTCCGGGGGTGCGCGAGAGTCGCGCTCAACGAGGCCCCTCTCCTCGGCAAAATCGAGGATGATGCTGACGGGGTGCGTCAATGGTGTCCGAGGGCGGTCCAGGAGAATGGGCTGGGCCCAAGTCTTAGGGTTGCTCTTATAACCTCCCCCGGGCTTGGCTTGGCCTTGCCGAGGGTGGTCATCAGAGGGTCCCGAAGCCTTGGGGCGATTTGGAGGAGCCCCCGGCCCTCGGTTGTGCTTGTTGTCAGCCCTCGGGGGCTGCTGGTCCGGATGCTGGTGATACTTCTCCACCTCCTCGGCCTCAGCATATCGGTCCCCCCGCTGCAAGGCCCTTATGTAGTCGCGGGGGGGTTCAATGATGAGGCTCCTTGAAAAGTTGCCGGTGCGGAGGACGGTTTGTAGGAGGGCCAGGAGGGTCCCGTCATCAGCACCGTCGACCTTGTCGGCCTCCGTCCTCCAACGCTCCAGGAAATCCCGAAGGGTCTCATCCTTCTTCTGGCGTATTGTTAGGAGGTGGGAGAAGTGCTTCCTTGTGCGACGCCTCCCGGCAAATTGTGTCAAGAACCGCTGGGCGAGTTCTTGCCATGAATCAATACAGCCCTCGAGCAGCCTGTTGAACCATTCGTATGCTGGTCCCTCTAAGGTGGAGAGGAACCAACGACACAAATATTCGTCTGACGCCCCCACCATCATCATGCTGTTCTGGTACTTGCTGTAATGTTCCTGGGGGTCCGTTTTCCCGCTGTAGGGATGTATGTGTTGCCCTCGGTATTTCTCCGGGATCCGGGCCGCCAATACCCTTGGGGTAAATGGCGTCCGAGTCCGGAGCTGGATGACGGGTTCCCCGGAGCCCTCGGCCACCTTCTTCTGTAACTCCTCCATTTTGGCCATCAAGGCCTCGTATTTGAGATCTGAGTGAGGGGTGGAGGTGGTGGCGTGAGCTTTGTTGGACTCCATTTCGTCAAGCCGGCGCTGGAGGGCCGCAATAATCTCGTCCCGGGAGTCCCTCGGGAGGGTTTCCGCCCCCTGCGAACGAACCCGGGCCGAGTGGGCCTGGTTGATTTGGTGCCGAGCATCATCGGCATGAAGGGGTGCCTTGCCTTTGTCCCGAAGGGGACGCTCCTCGTCTGCCCTCGAAACAGATCCCCCGCTTTCCTGGGGCTTTTGGAGTGCTTTCCCCCCGAGGCGGTCTTGGACCCCTCGGCGGTCTGGCCCTCCTCCGAGCCGGTTGAGGGCGGAAGTACGGGGCCTCTCCCTGTTGTCATTATGGCGGTCCCGGGACTGAACTTCCTGGGAGGATGTTTCTTGGGCCACCACCCCTTCGTCGTTTCTCACCCGAGAGGTGGGATTTCCGAAGGGGTGTGGCAGAGGGGGAAGTATGATATTTTCCCCGATCTGAGGGTGAGCTGGAGCCAGGGTGCCGAAGGCACCCGGGTTCTGGGTGAGCGTTTGGATGAAGGCGGAGAGCGCCGATTGTACGTCGATGGTGAGAACCGGAGGGCTAACTTGGTCATCGCTCCGGTTTTTCTTCTTGGCCTCGATGCCGAGGCGGGCATCGGGGGCGTTTTGTTGGATCTGAAGGCGTAGGTCGACAGCCGCCTGTTCCAGCCCAACGAGGACACCGCCCTCGGGAGCCCTGTGAGAGGCTTCGGGGGCGTTGACGTCGCCGAGGGCCAGGTTCTTGTCTTCTACGTTCTTTGAGTTGGCACGTGTTGTCCTCACCATTTTGATAGAGGGCTAGTGTTTGTGTTTGGTCGAGGGGGAGGGTTTCTTACTCGATTGTTCAACCTCTCAACGAGAGCACCAAATGATGGATAGTCTGCCCGGGGGTATATATCCGAAGGGTTATTACGGGGAATAACTTAGAGAGAAGTCAGAGCAAACAAGTAAGAGAGAGAGTGTATATTCGATATGTATTGAGCGTGTTATGATTTTTCAGCGTGGTTACAAATGAGGAAATGGGGTGCTATTTATAGCAGCAATAAATGCCGGGCAGGGACACGTGTCAAGCGCTCATTGGCCGAGGGGTCACCTCAACTGGTTGGCGCTGGCAGCCGCATGTGGCCGCATTTAATGCGGCTGTTGGATGGGACGTCTGTGCAGAGTACGGTGATATGTACGCATGTGAGGCGGATATCTTGTCGAGTGAGATGCCTTCGGCTATAGAGCAGTAGCCGAGGGCTCTTCCTCCCGATGGCACCCCTGGTGCCGAGGGCTCACAGTGCCGAGGGCTGCTGTTTTCGCCGTTTTCTCCCAGTTTCTTAGTTTGCTTGAGAAACCCGTTCTGTGAGAATTTGGAGCCTTCGGCCAGGGGGTCGAAGGCACCCCTGTGCGTTGTGCGGACTGCTTGGTACTCCGGGCGCTGTGAATTGGGCCTGTTGGGCCTTTTGGGCCTGTTGGGCCTTTGCTGGAGTAGTAGGAGTCTGTGGGCCGGGGGTTCCCGGGCTATATACTCCATCAATTATTATTTTTAATTATAAATGAATAAAATATAATTATTTATGGATTATAATATATATATAAAATAAAATCTTTATGCAAAAAATATAAAAAATAAAATTTCAGACCAGATCAGACCAGACCAGATCAGACTAAAACAGACCAGACCAGACCAGCAAATTACAGTCCAAGTAAAAACATAGACAAAAAGCATATACGAAGTACTTATCCCAAGTTATCTAGGTGTCTACAAAAAGCATTTTTCATAAATTTAGCTTCTCTCGTGTCTTTTATCCAAAGTTATCTAATACTACCTCCGTCTCGGAATTATCTCCTTATTTGACTGGGCACGAGTTTTAAGATAGTGAGAAATGTGTGGTGGAGAGTTGTGCAGCGGAAAGAGAAATGTGTAAGAATAGTTGTGAACCACAAATTCTTTGCCAAAAAAGGAAAAATGAGATAAATTTGGGACGGACTGAAAATGAAAGAACGAAGATAATTACGGGACGGAGGGAGTACTCGGGTATTTGTACGTCGTACGTACACTTTAGTGAGTAGTTTACCTATTTGTTTCACTCCAAATACTGAGTTAATCACTGAATACTAGATAACTTTTATGGTATTGTGACCCATTTTACTGATTACTAGCTTGGGAGCGGTAAAACGTTATTGATAATGAAGTTTGGGATTTGAAAAAATAGACTTTGTGTTGGCAAATGGAAAAGATTTTACATTACAAAGTCTACATCTTACTATATACAAACCAAAGTGGAACTTGCCCAAAAACCGGGTCAATTTGGGGTCGGGTCTATAAATTGAGATTGTTGAGCTTTGCTGCAGAGTGGGCCAGACATATTCATGGTTCTTTGAGCACGACACTAAAGCACATGTTGCGTGTTAAAGCCTTATAACCAAGGGATTGCACGACAACTGATAGAAAGGTGTGAGTCTCTTTTTCGTTTGACAATATACGGGGCATCAGGTATATCAAATGTCAAAACACATTATAAAAAGGGAGCATTAAATGGGCAGTCCACCTTTGTCATAAATAATCTTCTCAATAGTTTTTTCTGCACAAATATGCCAATAAATACTTTGTACAAGTCTTGAAATTTTAAAAATATGGTTGAGTGTTCTACTCTCTTTAGTTGGTCAGGAGCGCAGCAAGACTCAGTGTATAAATTTTTAACACATACAAAAAACAATAGTGTCCATTGCAGCCCTTATCAAACATCTTACGTCCGTTGTTCAATAAAAAACAGAGAGAGACCATCCATAATTGAAGGCCTTAAAATGAAGATGCATCAGGTTTTCGTCCAATGAACAAACCCATCTGAGAAACAACCGGCCAGTTCCAGAAGCACAAACTTTCCGAGAAGCAGAGTTGCCTCAAGACCCTCGCAGCAAGCACAAGTCGGTGAAACAATGAGAAGTTGTGTGGTTTGAGCTGATTATCAGGACTACTATTTTCCAATTGCTCGACAGCTTCTTCTCCGACGGCAACAAATAATAGGGAGTATAGTAGAGGGAGACTTTTGCTTGGTATGAGTCATTTTACTATTACGGATTTATTCAAAGGAAAAACTATTATATATGGCTTTTGTTCGAAAGTCAGACCTAATTTATTTTATTTTGTGTGTTCTTTGGTAGGTAATTTTTAAATTAGATTTATTTATTTTCTATCCTCTCAATCCTTCGAACTCTCATAGGATAACATGTGGATCCTAACAATTTTAGGGCACACAAGGTGAATGTTTACTTCATTAATTGAAGTAGAAATAATGGATATATTTTCCTTATTAGTTTGATTATTATAAGTGTATTTTGTCTTTATGAATTGCAATACAATAGACATATTCAGGAAGAAATCAGAAAACTCTCACCATTTTTTTTGTAGAAAACTCAAGAAGAGATTTCTATACTTCTATATTCTATCATTTAAAATTTTGTGGGATCAGATTATTAGCTCGGGGTATTTGGAGAACATGTGATGAGGAGCAGCAGCCAGCGGTGTATGAGAGTGATGAGGTGGCAGTAAGACGGTCCACAAGGCCACGTAAACAGAATAAAAAATACCTTGTTTAAAATAAGTTTCAGTATTATTTGTGTTTCAGTTGTAAATAAGAGAACAAGTCTTCCTGGTTTTCAGGGAGAACGTTCTCCACTTTCCCATTCCCTGCATTTTTGGAGTCCATGACTCCACCTTTTCGTTCTTTTCCTCATGTACTTGGCTATTTATATCAATGAAAAACATCAAAAATAGGTAGTCTAAACTACCAAAAACACCTGTCTCATGCTAGTACAAGCATATCTCTTTGGCTTTGAAGAGGGACCTTATCAATTTGGTATCAGAGCCGTTTGGTTCTTGTTGGCGGTATTCCCTACGAATCAACGCCCATCAAGAATATTCTTCAGTATCACTCACCCCAATTCACAACATTCCACCTCGAAAATCACAGAAACCAAACAAGCCAAGGGTAGCTGTCCAGGGAGACGAGCCCATGCCGAACAACAAGGAGAGACTCGACGACTTGGAGGCAGGCCTTGGGTTGATGCGGGAGAGTCTTGGAACTGTGCAAGATGAGCTTCAGAAAATAAACACCGGCATAGGAGACCAATTCCGGACTTTGGAGACTTTGTTCAACCGAAATCTAGAAGATGTTGTGAACCAAATGAGGGAATTGATGGCGACCAACCGCGAAAGTGGGTCCAGCGCAGCACGGGGACATCGTCGGACGGAAGAGCACGGGGAAAGTCACGTGTATACCACAAATCCTCCACACGGACATCCCCGTCAGGTGAAGCTTGAATTCCCAAAATTCAGCGGTGGAGACCCGGAGGAATGGATGAGCAAGGCAAAGCAGTACTTCGCCTATCATGAGATGCCACAAGATCAGAGGGTTAGCTTTGCTTCTTATCACTTGACGGAGGAAGCCAACGCGTGGTGGCAAGCGAAGTCAAGAGCTCGAGGTTTCGACCCCCATCGGATCTCGTGGGAAACATTTGAGGCTGAGCTGTGGACGCGATTTGGCCCAATTGACGGTGAAGACTTTGACGAGGCGCTCTGCCACATCCGCCAAAAAGGGACGCTAATTGAGTATCAAAGAGAATTTGAAAGGCTGCAGAACAAGGTTGAAGGATGGTCAGAGAAGGCATTGGTGGGGGCGTTCATGGGTGGACTTCACCCTTCTATTTCCAGTGGGATTAGAATATTCAAACCGAAGACACTGATGGAGATCATCAACCTGGCCAGATTAAGAGACGATCAGTTACAGAAAGAAAGAAAATGGGGTGGGCAACGGCCTTACAATTCCAAACCCTTACCTCAAATTGGAAACTCATCGCCAGATTATGTTCAATCATCATCACTTGGTGATAAACTCACACCGGGTCCACGACGGCTGAGTTGGGAGGAGCTTAAAAAGAAGCGGAGCTTGGGGCTGTGCTTTAGTTGCGATGAACGGTTTTCACCGGGACACAAATGCAAGCAGCCACAACTATTTTTCATGGAGAGTGAACAAGATTCTGACAACCATGAAGAGGAACTGTTAGCGGCAACTGATCAATCACCAGAGATCACACTACATGCCTTGACGGGTTGGGATGCTCCTACAACTCTTCGTCTTCGCGCAGGCATAAGTAATCGCAAACTGGTTGCCCTTGTGGACAGCGGCTCAACCCACAATTTCATCAGTATAATGGCAGCACAACAACTCCGGTTAAAGCAGACACCTACCACACCATTCCTGGTACGAGTCACCAATGGTGAACCAATGAGGTGTGAGTGCAGGTATGACGACGTTAAGGTACGGATTGGTGAGGTTACTTTCACAATGACCTTACACGCACTTCCGTTAGTGGCTCTAGACTTGGTTCTGGGAGTTAAATGGCTGGAAGGTTTAGGGCCGGTGACCTGTGATTGGAAAGCTCAGACGCTGCAATTTAAGTGGGGATGCCGGACTCATGTGTTCCGGGGACTCAAAGCTGCCATGATTCAGGTCACGGATGCACATGACATGATCAGGGAAGCTCGTCAAGGGCATACTCCTTATGCGATCTGTCTCGCTGAAGCAGAAGAACCATTGATGCCATTAGCTGAGCAACTGAGAGACTTGATCCAGGAATTTGAGTCATTATTTCAAATTCCAGACGGTCTCCCCCCTAACCGCGAGATTGAGCATCACATTACACTCAAGGAGGGCACTGATCCTATCAACGTTCGGCCCTACCGCTACGCACATTATCAGAAGGAAGAGATTGAGAAACAAGTGGTGGATATGCTCAACTCAGGAATCATTCGCCCAAGTTCCAGCCCCTTTTCATCACCGGTGCTATTAGTTAAGAAAAAGGATGGTTCGTGGAGGTTTTGCACTGATTACCGGGCACTAAATGCAGCGACAATTAAAGATCGATTCACAATTCCCACGGTGAACGATATGTTAGATGAGCTACACGGGGCAGCCTACTTCACCAAACTCGATCTAACAGCAGGTTATCATCAGGTTCGAATGCATCCGCTAGACATCGCCAAGACTGCATTTCGAACGCATAATGGGCATTACGAGTATTTGGTAATGCCATTTGGACTGTGCGACGCACCCTCAACGTTTCAGGCACTTATGAACTCAATCTTTAGACCATTGCTGCGTAAATCAGTGTTAGTATTCTTCGATGACATCCTCATCTACAGCCCCGATTGGGAGACACACTTGATGCATGTGCGGGAAGTGTTCCAAATCCTGCAGCATAACCAGTTGTCTGTCAAATTCAAGAAATGTGCCTTTGGTAAACAGGAGCTGGAGTATTTGGGTCACATCATCACCAACAAAGGCGTAAAGGTGGATCAATCAAAGATCAAGGCTATGTTGGATTGGCCAGCTCCAACTAACATCACTGAGCTACGGGGTTTCTTGGGATTGACGGGTTACTACCGTAAATTCGTCAAAGATTATGGCCTCATAGCAAGACCTTTGACGAACCGCCTGCGTAGGGGGCAATTCACCTGGGACAAGGAAGCAGAACAAGCATTCGCTGCACTCAAGCAAGCCATGACCACAACTCCAACTCTAGCCCTTCCAGATTTCTCTCAACCATTCGTGATTCAAACTGATGCGTCAGGAGAAGGCATTGGCGCAATTCTCTCCCAGAATGATAAACCAGTAGCGTTTATGAGCCGCACGTTGGGGGTGGCAAAGAGGAATTGGTCCACATATGCTCGTGAGATGCTGGCCATCATCGTGGCCATACGAACATGGCGACCATATCTCCTCGGTCGCAGATTCACCATCCAGACCGACCAGCGCAGCCTCCGGTACCTGCTCGAACAGCGAATACTCACTCCAGAGCAACAAAAGTGGATGGGAAAATTAGTTGGGTATGATTATGAGATCATATACCGGCCAGGAAAAGCTAATGCTGCTGCAGATGCATTATCACGGGTCCATGATAGCCCTGTGCTCAACTCTATACCCATACAACATGCAACAATATGGGATGAATTGAGAAAACTGGCAGAAACTGATCCATATCTGGTACGGGCAGGAGAGGCAGCTAGGGCTGCACCAGGGAAACCTTATGCATGGCGGGATGGTTTAGTATGCTATAACAACCGTGTGGTAATACCTCCTAACTCTAGGTTCATTACACAGCTTCTCCGGGAACATCATGACACCCCGTTGGGTGGTCATTCTGGAATACTACGCACAATGAAGAGATTATCTCGCCAGTTTTATTGGCCGGCTATGCACAAGACGGTCACAGAATATGTGTCCAGGTGTGACACTTGTCAACGAGCGAAGGCTCAAACAATGTCGCCAGCTGGATTGCTACAACCATTGCCCATACCAAATCAGGTTTGGGAGGATGTGTCGATGGACTTCGTGGATGGGCTGCCTCGATCCAACAATCATACTACAATTTTCGTGGTGGTTGACAGGTTGAGTAAGTCGGCACATCTCATTCCTCTAACCCATCCTTATACCGCATCTCTGGTGGCTAAGCGGTTTGTGGATTGCGTTGTTCGCCTTCATGGGATTCCAAGGTCCATTCTTAGCGATCGTGACCCCATCTTTCTGAGCCATTTCTGGAAAGAGCTATGGAAACTTTCAGGAACTACACTGCGGATGTCTTCAGCATACCACCCACAAACTGACGGGCAAACGGAGGTCATTAACCGGTGTATCGAACAATTCCTCCGCTCCTTTGTCCAGCACAGACCCACACAATGGGGTGATTTACTGCCCTGGGCAGAATATTGGTACAATACCATGTACCACGCGTCGACCGGGATGACACCTTTTGAAGCATTATACGGCCGCCCACCACCTCCAATTCCCAGGTATGAAATCGGGTCCTCCTTGGTAGAAGAAATCGATGTTCAGTTGCAGGAGCGTGATCAAGTGTTGGAAGAACTAAAAAAACACCTCATGACTTCCAACAACCGTATGAAACAACTGGCAGATCGTAAGCGCAGGGACGAGGGATTTGAAGTAGGTGACTGGGTGTTCCTCCGCTTGCAACCATACCGCCAAAAATCAGTCTTCAAACGTTCTTCACAGAAGCTAACCAACCGGTATTTTGGACCTTTTCGGGTTGAGGAGCGCATTGGCCAGGTAGCATACCGACTCAAGCTTCCCGAGGGTTCACGCATTCACCCGGTTTTCCACGTCTCCTTGCTAAAGAAAAGAGTTGGGGATGCTGCACCAGTGAGAGTAGAGTTACCACCACTACTCGAGAACGGGTTATTACTGCTCCGACCGGAAGAGGTCCTCGACACTCGGCAAGTTCAGCGAGGGTCCCGACAAGTGATTGAGGTGTTAATTAAGTGGGAGAAATTACCTATGGAAGAAGCTACATGGGAGGAGTACGACCAGCTTCTGGCCAGCTTCCCTCAGTTTCCTGTGAACCTTGAGGACAAGGTTCTGTTGGAGAAGGGGAGTATTGATGAGGAGCAGCAGCCAGCGGTGTATGAGAGTGATGAGGTGGCAGTAAGACGGTCCACAAGGCCACGTAAACAGAATAAAAAATACCTTGTTTAAAATAAGTTTCAGTATTATTTGTGTTTCAGTTGTAAATAAGAGAACAAGTCTTCCTGGCTTTCAGGGAGAACGTTCTCCACTTTCCCATTCCCTGCATTTTTGGAGTCCATGACTCCACCTTTCCGTTCTTTTCCTCATGTACTTGGCTATTTATATCAATGAAAAACATCAAAAATAGGTAGTCTAAACTACCAAAAACACCTGTCTTATGCTAGTACAAGCATATCTCTTTGGCTTTGAAGAGGGACCTTATCAACATGACATTTTAATATTAATAAAGCATAGATGATATATTCATGTACTCTGTATATCTCAAATACTCATAGCAATTCACTTCAATTCATTTTTTGTCATAAGTTAAAAAGTAGGAGAACTATTTATTTGGTAAAAGATGTGAGTGCAAATTAGTAGAACAATTAAGGATGGGCATTGATTTAAAATCTGAAAATATACGGAGTATTATTTATGAATGTTAAAGATATTTGCTTTCACTTTAAAAAAAGAATAGAAGAGTAATTAGTACTAATGTGGTAAGTTTATTAAGAAAAGTGGGGTGCAGTAGGTGCACCCTCTGCTTGGTCTGCTTGATTAATTTGAGGGTCTGAGATCTGCTTTTGAGTCAGGTCAACTTTGTTTTTGCTTGGTCTGTTTATTATTGAAGAAAACAATGTTCAGCCATGATGAACTATATGTCTATATGTGGTAGTTTCGCGAGTTACGAACCCGAAAGTATTGAAAATTTAAATTTTAGATGATAACGGTGTGAACTCGAATGAGACAACAATGTTGTTTACAAAGAAGTGCTTCAAAGTATTTAAATTTTTTCATGTTACCTTATCTTATGTATAATAAAATGATTTTTTTTGTCCTTGAAGTGGTTTTGTAAAATATTTGATGTATCATTTTGGATTTCAATTTTTTTATTTTGATTAATACAAGGTTAATTATTTCGGTCGTGCATCGCACGGGTGAAAATACTAGTTTTAACACAAAGGCTGAATCTCTCGTACTCTCCGTGAATTCTTCGTCTTCCTTGAAAATTTTATTCTAAAAATTAATGTGGTATCAAATTTTAAATCTGTATTTTTTAAGATTATTCCCAAACTCTTAGATTCTTTCTCCCAAATTTAGAGACATAACTACTGTAGTGCTTTTAATGGGCACAGTTGTTTCTTATTTACTATTGGGGAGGTTTATTAATAAAAAAATCTAGGTAGATAAAAATCATAGTTGAGGAGAAGTTGATAGATTTGAAGATTAGTTGAGATTGTTTATGTGGCAGTGACATTGCAATAACTTATCGTAAAAAATCGTAAATTTGAAGACCATGAATGAAGATGCTCTAACTCATAACAATGTCAAAACGATTAATGATTTAATGTGTTTCTAAATGTTTTCGCATTTATTCAATTATTTGTAACACTAGTTTTAATTTATGATGAAATTCATAACTAATAATCCGTACTTTTAGCGATTCTACGATAACAATCCCTACTAAATAAGTTAATATAAATAACCGATACCCACAAACACTTTCATATGAATAGATAAATTGAAACGGAGGTAATATTCTGTTTGATATTACCATCATACCACCCACCCCCATGTATCCATTTCTCTTCTTTTACGTATGCCCCATCTCCTTCGTTGGAGTCTGCAACCCTCTTCTTCATACATTACATTAATAACTCTTATTTTGAGAAGAAAAATATGTTAGTCTTTTCGTAATTTCCCTAAAAAAAACAACCATTATTCTTGATGTACACACTCTTGTACACACCTTATACACATCATGTTTGTGAAATATTTTTTTTGTCTATGAATCCGGTTCACAGACAATATTTTGTTCGTGCAAAACATTGTCTGTGAATCAATGTTCACAGACAAAAAAAAAGCTTTCACAGACTGTGTACAAAAGTGTGTATAAGAGTGTGTACAAACATCATTTTTTTAAAAAAAATGGGGTAATAATTTTTTCGTGACATTGATTCTCCGTCACAACACATGAACCTTTATTTTCAGAGATGGCTGCAGCTGCTTCAGGTTGGGGTCAGGGTCACTACAATGGCATCCCATACGAGTCCCCAAGACAGCCTGGAGAGAGTCTTCCAAACTATCGCATCCGCCAAACAGAACGCTTCAGGGCGGCTTTGACTGTGGCAGGGGTTAGCACGAACTGCTTCACTGAGGGGGCTTGGGTCTTGCGCGGCTATACAAGTCAATCCATCAATGAGGCCCTTTCCGTCTTTGAGTATAAAACGACTGAAGATATTCAGAATCTGTTCGTGATTGGTGTGAGGGGAGGTGTGATTCTTGGTGCTGGCCGCGTCAACACGGTAGAGTTGTTGAATTTCTGTAAGTGGCTTAAGAGTAAGCGCGGTCAGGATGCTGTCGCTAAATTCATGCACTCTGAGAAGTTGAGGCTCAGGGGTAAGGAAAACTTTTCGGTTCAGGAGATATCTCTTCTGTCTGGTTTTGAGCTTTGCAGGAATGACTGGATTCATGCCAGAAAGCAACTGAAGGCAACACATGATGAGAGGATGGCCGCTTTGAAATTGAATGCCGTCTGCGTGATGAGGAGTATCTTCCTGTCCCTGAGTACAAACCACTTGATAACAAGCAGGGGAACATCCAGTGCTGGGAGACTTATCGCTCTCTCCGTGAAGAGGAGACCCGTGGCATCCGGATCCCTACTAAGCAGCAGGTGTTGACCGCTGTTGATGAATGTGCTGAGCATGTCAGAACCAGGCATCTCTTGGATTTTATCACAGTGGCTGCCAACCGGAATGCATTGACTGATTACTTGAGGAGGAGGGTCCAGCCTTTTCGGACCGGAGGACAGAACAAGCAAGCCAATCAGCTCGTCAAAGACATGGCTGCAATGGGGGTCGTCGTGGATGATGAAGTGGGACACGAAGATGGAGGAGGCAATAATATCTTCTCGCGTGTTTTGGGATTTATCCAGGAGAGGGAAGTTGACGCAGAGAATGATGTGCGGAACGAATCCCATACCCACTCTGAGGAGGAAAGACGAATGCCTCACACCCGTGCAAGGGCTGCTGGAAAGCAGCCCGCGCGTAAACGTCGTTGAACCAATGATAAGACCTGACGGCTGGCTGATCCCCACAGCGCGCAGTGAGTTTGAAAGTGGGATCAGAAAGTTGATTGGTGGAGGGGAGGTACGGAATTGGGAGACAGACTCTTCTATATATCGAGGAGGATGCGCTGCTGATGCCTTTAAACCACTCGCTGACGCCAACTTCTATCCTCCTGGGAGGTTTCTGCATCAACTTTTCATTGTCCGTGGTGCATTTGTGCTATTGAGGTTGCCGTCAGATCTTTCTGTGCTGGATGGAGCTGGTTCCTGCTCTGTCAACATTTTAATTCTGTTGCTACTGCTGGTCCTTATTGTTGTAGTTTTAATATTTTGAAGATGTATGGTTTGGAGTCTCTCTGTACCTTTAGTACAGCGGTAAGGCTGCGTACATCCGACCCCCTTACCCAACCGTAGGTGGGAGCCTTTGCGCCACCGGTGTAATGGAATGGTTTGGAGTCTCAGTTACAGGATTTTGCTTGGTCCCGTTATAATGCTTTTGCTGAAGGTTTGACATGAAGGAAGCGTTTGAGAATTTCACCTCTTGTAAGCCCTTGGGTAGGTGTGTTATGATGCTTGACGTGCTGGAGCAGTTCTGTTCGTCCCCGCTCTACAACGTAATGTCCCAGATTGCTGCTGATAGTCTTGGTGATCATGAGGGCTGTTTTAGGAATACCGTTGTCCTTGCGTCCACTAATTAGCTCTATTTCTAGATGCTAAAGTGTGTGTTGAGCTTGATTGGTCTAAATTTGACAGGGAAAGGTCCTCTGAGGACAATGAATTCATTATTGCTGTTGTCGTCTCCTGTTTCACAGCTAACTGCGAGCGTGAGGAGAGACTTCTCAGGGCGAATGAGGTGTGCCATGCGATGTGCTCTGGTTTAAAGGTTGTCGAGTGCCCGAGTGCTGTTAACCTAGAGAAGTTGTTGTGGCCTGAGGGAATACATGACAAAATTGAGGATTATGAGGCAGTTTTGATATCGATGGTGGTGGATAATCCCTTCAATGATCATAATATTAATTATTTGAGGCATTGCTTCCTCATTGTTCAACAAGTCAAACGCCAGAGTGTTATGGGGATGGAACCACAGCACATCATAAGGCTAAGCAGAATCCGTCCAACTGGAGACGAAGAACGGAAGAAGTTCCTTACCCAATGGTTTGTGAATGGCGAAGGGTGAAAGGCTATGTGGATCTTGATAATTACCAGCCTGTAAAGCCTCATCTCTCTACACTTGTTCATCTGCAGGCGGCATTGACAGCTACAAAGTCATGGATATTATAAGGGGAGATAGTGCTGCTGGTAAAGGACAATGGGGTAACAAGTTGAAGGATTGGCTGCTCTTCATCAGGAATCATCCAATGACGCGTTTTCTCAAGAAGAGCAGAAGATACTGCCACAACATGTCAACATGCTTGAGGAAGAGGAAGAAGAACCCGCAGCAGCAGGATTGAGGGAACTTTTACTGAAACTGTGGACTATGCTTATTTTATTTCACGTAGACGGAGACCCAATGCCTTTTCCATCATTTGCAATGGAGCCAAAGATTCATTATTTTTTGGCTTGAGATTATGATGGAATAAAGCAAAATGGCTCACTAAACTGTCTGCGCTTCTTTGTTATGAAGCAGCAGTCAGTCCATGCAATTTTGGACGGGATTTTCACTATGGGTCATCCGGAAACAGTCTCTCTGTGCTTTAGTACAGGAGTAAGGCTGCGTACATCCAACCCCCCTTACCCCACCGTAGGTGGGAGCCTTTGCGGCACTGGGGTAAATGAAAATGAAAATGATGAAGACTGAGACCCAATGCATTCATACTCCTAATTTTCCTTATGTTCCTTCTCATGATGTATGCCATTACTTCTTATATAATGAATGTTTTTGCAAAAAAAAAAACAAACTTGTGCAAAAATGTTGACTTACGTTCTGTTCATTTGGATTCCAATATTTTGATCTCCATCTTTAAAAGTATTCTAGGCTTGTTTGGTCTTTAAGATCTAATTTCATCTAATATGCCCTCATTAGATGCAATTTGACAGCAATAATCTGATATAGCATGTACATACGTAATTGAAATAAATTCAGGTGAACGGATCCAAATAAGGAGTATGACACAACAAACTAGGAATAAACACAAGTAACCTCTTTCCTGACAACGTTTGAAAAAACCACAGAATAGACTAAAGTTCTCAATGACCCTTTGTCATTCTGAATAAACCTGGACACAGGGTTGATTTTAAACATTTCAAACTGGTTTATAGAATAGGGCCCGCCAATTAAAGGGGCCCCAATTTTGTTTATTAAAAATATTAGTATTAGATAGTAGTAAAAAAAATTATTGAGTAAGGAAGAATAATGTAGATCCACCATTTTTAACTTAGCCCTGTAGTCATGTTATACTCAAATTGTTCGAGTAAAAAGTTGCATTGCTTTAATTCAAGTATTAAGTAACTTCTAGTAATTTTAGGTCGCAAGTATTTAATTGATTTGAGTATACATATTTAGATTGAGAATATTTCTTTTAGTTTTTTTATATTAATGTGAGTCCTCAATTTTTTAATTGGAAACAAGGCATCCAAATTCATTACATGACCCTGTCTGGAGTCTGGACACTTATTATCAAGATGGAAAATTCTTCGTGTACACATTCTGTGTACGCCCTCTTTACATTTTGTTTTATACAAATAATGATAATTTGTTCAAAATTTGAATGACATTTGATTTTTGACCAAATTTTCTGTGTGCACAAATAAAATATAAAAATATGCACACAAAAATTATTCTTATCGGATTTTGTTGGTTAAGAAGGTAATTAAGGGAGTTTGGTGCACATAAGCTTCTCCAATATAAATTACAAAAATACACATGCAACTTAAGAGTACATTTGGTGAGCTTGTTTTTTGGCTTATCAGACGTATCAGCCAACTTTTTCACCAAACACATGACTTTTGATTTCACGCGCTGAATTATGTAATACTACGTAACAAGAAAAAGTAAGGTTAAAGTTACTTTTTGGCTGTATTGGCTAAAACTACTGCAGAGAATCATTTTAGCTATTTTTTAATATAATTTTTTATTTATTTTATTAATAAAATATATTTTATGTATAATTTTTTCAGAAATCAGCAGAATCAGCGAATACAACCACTTCAACCAAAAATTCATAAATATCAGCAGAAATAGCCGATTCAGTCGATTTCAGTGTTACCAAACGAGCTCTAAGTTTTTGTATGCATGACATATTAGATGTTACATTGGGTTTTAGATGTAGTCGAGCTGATCCTTCAATGTTTAGGTGGCGATCTTCCTTTTACATGGTGATTCTTCTGCTCTATGTGGTCATGTGGTATCATTTTGACCGGTTTTACTAACTTTAGATCCCTGCAAAATTTCTTATTATTTTTCATCTCTCATATTTTATGTTGTATTCATTTTAGTGTTCTGATTTGATACTATGTGCATTTTATTACTCACGCTGACAACAAAATGAGTAATCCATTCCATGAACCTTCCAATCAAATATATAAAAAGAAATGAAGTACAAGACATTAGAGAAGGAAAAATAAAGACTGCTGCAGTGTGACTTGTAAATCTTCTTGGCTATCTACTAGAATATGAATGACCTTGCTTCAGTGTCTCAATTGTCACAGCATATGGTGAATTCCAATCAGCATCAAAGATCTCCTGAAGCTGCGAAACAATGGCAGCATTGTACGTTCCAAAGCTGACGCCTGAATCTGTAAAGAAGTAATCCCACAGCAGGTTACTCGTCCCTATGTGGGCCCGCACATCACTTACTGCGTACTTTCCATGATTTACACGAGTGAAGCCAGGATACATATTGCCAGTGGCAGTGCCATTGCTGATTGCAGGTCCAGTGAGGTTAAATCCAGGAACCATGTAATATTTGATCTCAACATTGCCAGTACAGCGGTTCTTTTTTGAGGAAGAGCATAAGGTGTTTGAGTAAAGCAGTGATTCCAGATACTTATCCGTGTTTTTTATGTTATGCGCCCAGTAAGCAACCAGTAACTTAACATGTGCATGTTTGGAGAACACAACCTGTGAATCCGACAATTTCAGCAGGTTTTGTTGTTGTTAGTGGTGTTTTTTTTAATAAAGTCCAGTCTCTTCCTCTTTCACACGATAAAAGTTGGTGCACATATAAGGGGGGCAACAGGACCCCCTGTGGAAGTGTGCATAGTTTCTGACATCTTGGGAACTGGGGAAGTGTTTCACCACTACTTTCAGTGGCTTGACAAACTACATATAAGGATGGGAAGCCATTTGATAAGGAAATCTGAACAATAACAAGATCTCCAAATCAATTAATGCATTTTGATTTTCAAATATTGTCTTGTACATATATCTTGTCCGTAGGTAGTGTGTCAGTGTGTGTGTGTGTATATCAGAAGTTTAAACTCAATAATGATAGATATAGACAATTAAGCATGCATATTCATAAGATAGCATTGGCATCTTCTAGAACTAAATTAAGTTAAGATTAGCATAACATTAATATCAGATCTGTGGATTTCCCCCATTTAGCTGTTGAAGCACAATAGGTCCAAGTTACACAATGACTTGGATTGTCGAGTGTGTTTCTCAATCCATGATATATAATTTATGTCGTGCATGTAAAACATAGATCATCTCATCTAAAATCCAAATGATCCATTTATAATTTACGGTGCAGTGGCATTAACATCACAAAAGATTAATTAAGCAGATAAATAAAATTACCTCGGAAATAGCTGCCGAAATTGAAGGCCAGTAGACAGCCTGTTTGGTGTAACCAGACTGACCAAGCCAGTCCATGGTGCTAATTCTAACTGTTTCTCCATTTCCTACAGATTTTATTGTATCCACCCAAGCTTGTTCATCTGTTTGGTACTTTCCAAACAAGAGCTGCAATGAAGAAACATGAACCATCTTTTAAGAATCAACAGGCTCAAATAGTATTATTATATGAATTTCATAACAATGTTCTCCAGAATATTAACTGTCAAACTTAGTACCATGGAAAATGGATTCCTATCATGATTATTTCAGTGATACACATGGCTGAAAACTCCACATATATTATGGCACATACTCATTATGGGATAGGCATGTGTGCATTTTATAAACTGCATAACAAATTAAAACATAGGAGTGATGACAATTAAAAATGAGCAGTGTGTTACGCACAACTAAAGTACTCTGCTTTGATGAGTGCGCGTGCTAATGAATTAAGGATATTTCAGAACAGAAATCATCCAGAATAGTATAGTGGTACAGTGGTATACTAGTATACAACTCTATAATTTGTATGAATATTATCATCTGAGTTAGTATTGTAGCTGATTTATAAAATCCTACTCACGTAACTTTGTGGGCTTCAATTCACATTATCCCAAGTATGATGAGCATTTAAATGATTAAGAGATGATGAGCTTGTGGTTGCTACCACTTCTGACTTCTGAGAAGTGATTTGTTTTAGAGATTATATGAAAAGTGATTAACAGTAAAAGTTGGTAAATTTGGCAGTGTTTGGTAATAAAAGTGATTATGAAAAAGTAAAAGTTAGAATGATTGGTGGAAAAATGTTTTATTTTGTGTAACAGAAAAAATGAAAAAACAGTTAAAAGCACCCCTCCCAATTCCCATTGTTTTTAGCTTTTGTCTTTAAACTGCTTAGCTTTAAGCAGGAGCACTATTTGAAAGCACTTTTTTCAGTTGTTTTGAAGCAAAAAGCTGAATGGTGCTTTTTTTAAGCAATAGCAAGCACTTCCTAAGCAATAGCAAGCACTTCCTAAGTAAACTGAATAGGGCCTGTTGGCATGCTTGGTAAGCTGGATGCTCAAGGTATAATTACCCTTGCAAGGAAACTAACCTCCGGTGGAGCAAAGGAAAGATAGCTGTATTCATGTTGCACAACTGAAGAATTAAATCCAGGTGTCTGGATTGGCATGCGAAACATCTGAGGGTCTGAGAGTACTGGATAGCCAGATACATGGTGGGCGTATACATATTTAGGAAGAGGTGACCTGTCACAGCATTGTAAAACGTCAAACAGTTAATGACAGCCTGATTCTTAGACCCCATGCAAAAAGGAGTTTTGTATAAGCTTAATTTGCTTTGTGAGAAATCAAGGGGAAATGTAAGTGCAATTCTTATTATAGAGTATTTGACAAATTAGGATTTGCTTCATCATCAACTGATATTAGTCACTTCTGACATCATGAACTCATGGGAATTAAGGAAGATCATGAAACCAAATTATTTTTGCTTTTTATCTGATCTTTTTCTTTCTTTTCCATCATTTGCAATGGAGCCAAAGATTCATTATTTTTTTGGCTTGAGATTATGATGGAATAAAGCAAAATGGCTCACTAAACTGTCTGCGCTTCTTTGTTATGAAGAAGCAGTCAGTCCATACAATTTTGGACGGGATTTTCACTATGGGTCATCCGGAAACAGTCTCTTTGTGCTTTAGTACAGGGGTAAGACTGCGTACATCCAACCCCCCTTACCCCACCGTAGGTGGGAGCCTTTGCGGCACTGGGGTAAATGAAAATGATGATCTGATCTTTTTCTTTCTATCGTTTTTTTACTCCAGGCAGGAGTTAGAAGATTTATACGACTAAAACATTTCTGGTTTGCATACCTGCACCTTTCTTTAGGATGTAGGAAGTGAGACCAACAAGGAACCAGGCGATTAATCTGCCACTGTTGATCCCAAACCATTGTGGTATAAGCTGAAGCATTGAGTTGAGCAAGTTTCCACAGGTTGTTATAGTAGATCTCAACATGCTTTACTATTTTTGAGCAACCAACAAGATACACACCAAGTTCCTTTACCTAAAAAAATTATGAAATAAATTGAGGTAACCATAAACCAATCATAAGGCAGAAAGAGAAAGCATCATATGTAGCACTTCCTTTTATGAAGATTACTGTGTCATAGTACACTATAAGAATGTCCATTCAACAGCTTAAAAGCTTTAGAAATGGATCTTTTTTTGTCTTTTTTAAGCAATAGAGGATGATTCTTTCATGTTTCTTGAAATAAATAAGAAACATATAAAAAGGTTTTAAACAACAGGCTAGAATCTACAAGGAGTCTCACATATAAGTTACTCCCTTCGGACCTTTTTGTTTTACCCCACTTGACTTTTCATGGAGTTTAAGAAGATAAAAATGTGTGGTTGAAATGTATTCCGAAAGGAGAGAATCAATAAACTACAAAATTCTTTCCTTTAAAAGAAATGGGAAAATCATTTAGGAATTACCCAAAGTAGATAAAAGGAGACAGACCTAGAGACTATAGAGCTACTGAGGGTAGCCGGTAGTATATTAAAATCATTAAGTCGCAGTGTTGTTCTCGCTGGATGAGCAAAACTAAGAAATGTATTGGAAGCTAGAATACACTAATTAAAAGAATATGTAATACAACCTGAGTGAGCGATTTCCAGTCATTGTTAGCTGATCCAATATAAATGTCTCGGCTATCTGATATCCAAACTTTGGAATGGACTATGCCAGACTCCCACCAATCACTGAGCAGCAAAGTGACATTCTTTACGTTTGGCCTTCTCGATGCAAGATTAGACGGTTCTTTAGTGTAATCAGGATATACTCCTGAGTGCTGTAAAAATCTGAGCTAACACAAATGCCAATATACAATGAGAAGAACAGTTCGCAATCCACAATATACAATACGAACTGGAAACAATCCACAAACTTCATTAATGGCGGTATACAATACAATAGTCCCAAAGCTAGAGATAAGACTCTAACTTCCCAGTCCCAAGCCAAGCATCTAACAGCCTGCTCCCAATTTCTAACTGTAGTCTATTTATAGTAAGGAAGGCTAGCCCCCGGTAGTTATTAGCTCATAACAAACTAGACTAATAACAGACCCTATTTCTTTCTAAAATACACTTTATTAGAGTATTTATCTTCTTTTCTTCAGTTTAGTAAAGTCTCTATCAAATCTCCCCTCCTGAAAATCCAACTTGCCCTCAAGTTGGAAGGGTGGAATTTGTTGTCTGATGCCCTCAGGTTTCAATTCCATCTTCTGCTTCCTCTTCATCCTGATGCTTCGTCCTTCCCAATATCTCATTAATTTCTGATAGATGAGCTTCATTACTTGATCTTTCCAATTCACATATGTTACTGTAACATATATTGTCTCCGGTGAACTTTCATTCTCTTCAGTCTTCAGGTCTTCAATGGCTACAATTATTTTCATGCTTCCCTGAAGTATAACACTTACAACGGTAGCAGAATTTGTGTTTTTGTCTTGAACATCAGGATTCTCATCCTCTTTAATCTGCTCATCAAGAATTTTTGAACTACAAATTGCTTCCACTCCATTTGACTTTCCTCCCATTGAATTATGATTGACAACCATGATGCTTTTCAGTAAAACAATGTCACCCTCTGCCACACTTTGAATACTCCCCATATCATTCCACCATACAACTTCCATAGAAATTCCCCACCAAAAACTCTCTGCAACTGTACATTTCTCAAAGGGAAAGTCCATTTTCACCTTGTGCCTTGAAACAGATAGTGGAAGACCCCAGGTTATTTTTAAAATGGCACAATCTTTGCTACTATGAAGCAACACATAAACCAAGCAACACTTTGCGGCTGAGAATACAAAGTCAGCTCCTGCATCACCAAGTACATCATCCCTACTTCTTTGGTTCCATCCTTCCTTGTCAGATGAAGGAAGTTCATATTTTTTAAAAGCACTCCAATCTTTGCAGCTATTCTTCAGGCTGGAGAAATCATGAAACATAGGATCCAAATTGATGTAGCCGCATCCTTTGAGAATTTTCCAAAAAGAAATTCTACGATCGGAAAAGAATAACCCTCCATTTCCCTCCGCAATCCTCTCCTTCCCTTGAGATATAGGATTTGACTTCCCAGTCTGGTATTTCTTGACTTGAATGTAGTCACCAATTGAATGGCTACGCTCAAGGGACAGCAGCATATTGGTTTCCAATTCTGAATTAACTACTTCGTACCTGGAAGTGTTATTACAAATGAGGAAACGAGTAATTGCTCCATCTTCCAGTCCAAGATTAACTGAAGATTTCTTCTTGCTTTCCTCTTTGCCATAAGTGTGTGTATCCTCCGTGGGCTGTAGTTGCTGATTGACCAACTCCAGCTGCGACTCTGGGGACTCAAATAGAGATTGCGAACTAAGGTTTTCTACTTGAGTCGAAGCCAGAGGACCGGAATAAATCTCTTGCGACTGAGACAAACCTCTGTTCTTCGAATTTATACAGTGACGTACAGTCCTTGACCTTCCTCGCCGACGTTGTTTCAGCAGCTTGGGCTTCCCCTTCTCCATGTTTGAAAGCTTTTCTTTCTCCACTTTTTCGCTCTTCTTTATCTCCACTTTTTCGCTCTTCTTTTTCTCCATTTTTTCGCTCTTCTTTTTCTCCACTTTTTCGCTCTTCTTTTTCTCCACTTTTTCGCGCCTCTCTTTCTCCATCTTTTTGCACTTCTCTTTCTCCATTTTTCGCGCTTCTCTTTCTCCACTTTTCCTCGCTCAACCTCTTCCGCGAGCTTCCCCAGTTTTCCGCGCGAATCCTCTCGCGAGTGCGAAACATCCTTATGCGACTTGGTGAGCGACTGAGATGGATGATTTCTAGGGTTCTTCGCTTGATGTGCGATGTTACCACTCTCTCCCGGATCGGAATTTCTTGGATGTCCCTTGTGAGAAGTATGGTGCGACCTATGCGAAGGGTGCGAACTGTTTCGCGAACGACTTTGACTTTGCTCCGCCAATTTCGCGATCGTCGCCTGCATCGTCTTAAGCATCGCCTTCATCTGTTGTTGATTTTTCTCCAATTTTTCCCTCAATCTCTTTTGGTTTTCCTCCAGTTCGTTCATCCATAAATCCATCTTCGTACGCGTCAATACCATCCACAGAATCTACGTGCTCTGATACCAATGAGAAGAACAGTTCGCAATCCACAATATACAATACGAACTGGAAACAATCCACAAACTTCATTAATGGCGGTATACAATACAATAGTCCCAAAGCTAGAGATAAGACTCTAACTTCCCAGTCCCAAGCCAAGCATCTAACAGCCTGCTCCCAATTTCTAACTGTAGTCTATTTATAGTAAGGAAGGCTAGCCCCCGGTAGTTATTAGCTCATAACAAACTAGACTAATAACAGACCCTATTTCTTTCTAAAATACACTTTATTAGAGTATTTATCTTCTTTTCTTCAGTTTAGTAAAGTCTCTATCATACTCCTGAGTGCTGTAAAAATCTGAGCTAACACAAATGCCAAAGGAATAACTAAATTAGCAAATTCTGACATACATTTTAGGGTTCACGATTGATAGTTGGAAACAGCTAGGAACAGGTATCATCTAAACTTTCTTAGCTTAGAGGATAAGTGATAAATTGACAAAGTGGATAGCAAAACTAGATATCATAATTAACATAAACCATTAGCAGCAAACAACCTCTCTACTCCTAGGGGTAAAAGTCAGGTAAGAGTTCATCTCACCGTCCTTAAACCCTACTTAGGAGTGGGACTTACTGGGTTTGTTTGGTTTGGTGTGGTTATCAAAGGAAAGTAAGATAACACAAATTAGATTAGATTAGACAGTTCCCTCTTAAATCATGATACATGGATCACACCTGACTGTAATGTTGCGATTAGCAGCATCTTCTAAGGCACTAAAAACTCTCAACCCATCATTTGCACCAAATCTTTGCATGTCATCCTCTGAGTATCCGTAATCACCAGAGCGAGGATCAGATGGACTGGCTATCAACTGCCAATATTGGGCAATTATATCAAGACTTTTTGAGGAATTTCCTGCTAGCCACTCAAGGACATCCGCTGATGAAAAAATCAGGAAAATATATATTCATGAATTAAATTGCATTTGGATAACCAAAAACATTAGTTCTGAATCCATAATTAGCACCAAATCTATGCGGCCTAGAAACTGTTTCCAGATGACCCATAGTGAAAATCAAGTTGAAAATTGCATGGAATGACTGTTGTTTCATAACAAAAAAGCGCAAACAGTTTAGTGAGCCATTTTGCTCAGTCTGGAGGCCAGACGGCCTTCAAAGACCAAGCTCTGCCATGAGGATAAGTGCACAGGCTATACGTATGAACTGGGTACAGATTGTAAACTACTGGTACACACTGTATGCCAACCAACCTGGAAGTCTGCGAGCAGGCGTAATGTGGAATTGACAAAGTCTATGCATCTAAAATGCTATGTTTCTGTACGAATGGGAAGGAACAAGTCTGGGTCAATTGAGGATGAGTGGATGACCACACCTCCTGACAGTGAAAAGGATTCCTCCAGCATAAATATGACCCTTCTTCTCATGAGGAGGGGTTAGTTTTTGTATTCTCAGCAATAAAATATGCTATGTTGTAAGCTAGAAGAAAATGGAGGAGTCTAGAGTGTTTAATCCTGTATTAGAACACCACCTTGCTAACAGGCAGAACATCAATACAAGAGACTGAGATCATCATCACGTTGCTTCATACATAGTTATTCTGGTTACTTTTGGTCAGTAGTTTCGGTCATCTTCCCATAAACCACCCAAGAATTGGTCTCCTTCTTGGGATTAAGATATCTGGGTTAACTGCAACACTTTCATGTCTGGCACTTAAAATTCTAAAAAGTGAAATGATTTAGTCGTACAGATAATGAAATGCTAATAACGCGATCCAGAAAGAACCATACACGTACGGCGACGCTAAAAAACGAAACTTTCAAGCAATATATAACTTCAGCCTGAAATACATGAGAGTTAAATGAAAGCTTGGGTGCGGAGAGTGTTACCGGAAGAAAGTACGCCGTCGACGTGAGGGAGAAGAGGCATGTCGGTGGGAATGGACTGGACTAGCCACGCTTTGCATTGCTCTCTCCTGTGCTTCTTGTCGAAATTCCCCTCCGATGAAGAGGGGAAATGCGAGTGAACTGCCACTGTGATTGCACAGAGGACAAGGAGGAGAGTGAGGAAAATAGTTGAAATTGTCATCGTCGGTCTCTGGGGACGTCACGTTCATGGGAATCATCTCAGTGAACAAGAGTGGAGGCTTTATTGGCAATCACAAAATGCTAAAATTGCATTGACCATTTCTTGAGTTTCTGCTCCGTTCCCGATGTTTTTGGGGATTAGTTCGGATAGAACGGCTGAGTTGAGTAACGTCTGATAGGAGATTTGGAGGTTTAGTACACCAAATCGTAGGGAGTAAAGAGTGCATCATTTTGTAAGTGTGATTTAGAGGTACATGAAATTGCCATATCAGTGCTAATTGAGTCTATCGGAATATTAGAGCTTTTAAAATGCCTAGGTGGCAAAAAGATTAGTGATATTACATCGTAAATTGTTCCTATTTAGGAGTATTTTTCTCTTATTTATTTCCGCATCCTCGCAAAATGTTCATTATACTCCGTTTAAAAGTTTTTGAAATCAATTTTGGTTTATTGTTATGCAGTTAACTACTACCTTCTTCCTCGAGTGTTTATTTCATTTTTTGAAGCTTATTTCTTACCTAGTGTGCGTTTTCTTTTTCTTTGTCAATCTTCTTTGTTCTACTTCATTTTTTCTACGAACAAGTCGACATTTGTGCAATTGGACATCATATTTGTAGGTACGTAATTTAATCGTTAAGTTTCTTGTGTTTATTCCATTACGTTCAGTTAACGATTGTAAATGTTTAATTAGAACTTTTTCAATAAGAATCCTTCTATTACTATTTTATTTGTTATTGCTTTTATGTTGAATGAACTCTAGAATTGATTTGTAGTCATTTTTATGCTGAATTTTATAACTTATTCTAACTTTTTATTTCTTACTTCATTCTTTTGTGAAAAATTTCTACTCCTTTTACTAACCACCATTGTTTTGATGTTTGTTTATGTTTGTGCGTGCAATTTTGAAACCATTGAATCATATTTTTCTTTACTTATTATGTATTTGTCCTTATATGATGTCATTTACTTTGTATATTTTCTACGGAGTACTTTTCTATCATTATTTTGAAATTTCAATTCCATTAAATCTGTTTAGTACTGTCACCTAAGAGTGCCTAAAGTCTGTGTAAGCATAGCGGTGGTAGTAATTCTGGGGATAGGCGTAAACAGCGGAGTTCGGCGACTGCCATCGGCCGCATTCCAAACCCCGCAAAGGTATTTTGTCAAACACATATAATTATTTCTATTTAGAGAATCTAAAAGAATAAATTTTATTTTTGCTTTTGTACTACTTCCTTCATCTCAATTTGAGTTGTAAATTTGACTTTTTGGATTAAGCGGGATCATTTTATTTCCTTAGTTAAAATATCGATTCTTAATTAAATTTTAAATTGAATTTTGCAAGTTTATAGATATTTTAATTTAGTTTCAAAGTATGGGTATTTTAATCATTGAAATTGAATTTATTATTAGCATCAAGCTACATTAATATATCTATTCAAATTGCAGGTAAAATCGTAAAATCATAAAATCGTACAAAATCGTAAATAATCGTACAAAAATCATGTAGAATCGTTTAAAACGTAGCAAAATCGTAATAAGATTTTTTAGTGAAAATGGTTCAAATTTATTAAAATTAACTACTACAAATTGATACATAATTACAATAATAACAATAATATCAGTAGTATATTTTAAAAAGTAATGGATTCTTGTGTTATTTAATTATTGTTATTTTTTTTACATATGTTTAATGCTATTATTCACTACATTTACATTATTATTATAATAGTTTATAAGTCATGTTTTGGACCTTATAGGTATAGTTTTAAGTCATGAAATGATATAATACCATTAACTTGCATCTTAATGTTTTGGACTCTTGTTTGATTGATTTAATATAAGCTTGTTTCCTTTAAAAAAAACTTGATACCATTTGGTCCAAAATGTGGAATCTCCCACCTCAGGAGCCCTACCCTGACCCGATAAGATGGTGGGAGTTTAATCACACAAGAGGTCCAGCTTTATTTCAGATTCTATAAACTCAACGTGATCCCCGCTGATTTCGAAACTTGGTCACTTTTCCAATTTTCCCACCTGTAACCATATTTAATGGCGGAAAGCCTGAAACATAAGTCCATAAAAATTGGGCCAGGTCTGGCTTAGAACTTACAGCTCTGCTTCTTCGCTATGGGCCTGTGGCATAGAATTGTGGAAGCAGCTGCTGGAGTGCTGGTCCGGTGCTGAATGCAAATGGAGTCCTCTTGCCCAATCGGCGATCACTTCTCCGATCAAATTGCCGCTCTCCTCAACACTCCTCCACCCCTTGAAGCTGAGGCACTGACTTCCCTTCCTCTCTAACCCTCCTCTACGTGTTATTTGTGCTTCAATGCGTTTCATTTAATATCTGTCTCTCATGAATGTTTCCAGAAATACTATGAAGACATTATATCATCCAGGCAATGTAATGGCGTCAAAGTGAAGCTCAATGGAGATTACGGAAAAGGTAATTACCCTTTATGTTGTCCCTCGCTTCATTTACTGTTATTTAAGCATGAATTAATAAGAGAAAATTAACCATATTTGACTAAAATTTAATGTGTTTCTCAAAATATGACTTCTATCTTTTTTCTTCCCAATATGATAGTGTTTCGTATGTATAAAACTAATATTTAATCATATTTTGGGATGTACAAAAGTAGTAGTCATATATTCTGAAATTGTCAATGTTTTAGTCATATATTAGTAAATATCCCAATTAATAAAGAGTACTTTAATTAAAATAAATATAATAAAGAACCAGACTTGACTTTATATGCTGTTGTAGGGCATTTCTTTGGCTGACTTATGTTGTTTTTTATTATCAGAATGACATATTATTGACTATCGTTAAACCCAAAGCAAACCCTTAAAATTTCGGGAGCACATCTGCAAACTAGCAGTTTGTCTTTTATTGTGTCTACCTTCGGTTGAAAGCTGTGGTGGGCTTGCTAATATTCTGCTATTTAATTAATTATGTATTGCCTTTGTGAATTAATCAACTGCAGGAGTGTATGCTGAAAAGAACTTTAAAGAAGGGGAGCTTGTTTTAAAAGATAAAATGCTAGTTGGTGAACAACATTCTTTGAATAAGGTTCTGAAAGTTCTTTTTTTTTTACTTTTTTTCATTCCTAAAGATGCATTTGTTCTACTTGGCAAACTATTTTTATTTCCTCCCCATGCCTCAAATGTTTCTCCTTGTTTCCAGCTTGATTGCCTTGTGTGTAGTTATTGTTTCCGGTTTATTGGCTCCATTGAACATCAAATTGGGAGGCAGGTTTACTGGAAAAATTTTGTTGATCCAACGGATGAGTGTGGAAGGGAAAAAAGTTCACACATAAAAAGAGAATTTTGCGACTCTGATCATACTGATGAAGAAGATTGTTCTGATACAGAAAATCTGCAGGAGAAAGGGGGATGTTCATCCAGTAATTCCAATCCCAAAGTAAGCATCTCTAAGGATCTGGTTCAATCATTAATGAATGGTGATATACGGCTACCATATTCAGAACTGTTTCCCTTGCCCCCAATTGTTTCATGTCCTGGGGGATGCGAAGAAACATATTATTGCAGGTCCGAATTTTCATGTTTTCTCATAATAGTTTCAAGTCAAAAATAATCCGAAAATGCTATTGGAGGCTTCAGGAAAGAATTAATAATTTTCTTTTATCCCGTATCAACACTTTGGCAGCCCTTCTTGTGCCGATGCTGATTGGGAGGAGTTTCATTCTTTGCTATGTACCGGAAAGGGCTCAAAAGCATTAAGCACTATGGCAGTTCTGAAATTCATTGAACATGCTAATGGTATGATCATGGTCCATCGCTCAAATGGCACTCCAATACGAATATAGGCTATTCATTTGCTAATAAACATATATTATTTTCTCATTTCAGAAACAAATGATATTTTTCTCCCTGCTGCCAAGGTACTGGTCAAATGTCTTATTTTTAGTCTATGTATCATTTGTAAACATCTGGAAACCTTTTATTTTCTGTAACTACGGAGAGTGGGCATTTCTATGTAATTTAGATGAATGAGGTGCTCTTTCCCAAAGCCTTATATGCTGAGATACATACTCACATTGTTGCATCATTATTGAAAAATACTGTGAACTTAATCCGATCACTTGTGCTTCAGGTGATTTCTTTCACCATCTTGAGGTACAGGAAGTTCAAAGAAGATCGGCTTTCTGGAAAAGGAAAATTGGATTCTTCAGGAAATAGCAATTTTTCCTTCTTGATGGAGGCTTGGAAGCCTGTATCAATGGGGTATAAGAAAAGGTATGGTGCTGTTGTAATGAACTTGCTCGTATGCAAGGTCTTCCACAACATAGATCCTTTATGAATTTGTTATTGAGATTATAGTGCTCCTATTTTTAGTTACTTTCCCAGTGTACTTCAATTTTTAAGGTGATTAAACCCAGTAACTTTAATGTTGTTTATTGAATTTATGAACCCATTTGGTGAGGCTTATAGTGATTGAACGTTATGACATTGCTAAATTTGCGGATGAAATTGCTGAATTTGCTAAATCATAAAATAAAATAAAAATCAATCCAGTACCCATAAGATATATTAACTATCAATCAATAATTTGAAAGATGAAATGTATCGATTAGAGCTTGAAAATTAATGTAAAAAATTGTACGTATTAGAATGTAAAAGAACTTGCAGGTAAGCTGAAAAATAAGGCTATCAAAAACTACTGCATCTGTTTCTTTTTCACTCGAACCTTTATACTATCGTATTTTATTTCTTTATTTTAATTATCTGAAATTTGTTTGAATGAATTTCCAAATTATTTCTGCAGTTGGTGGGACTCCGTTGCTTTGCCTAATGATGTTGAGCATAGTGATGAAGCTGAATTTAGAATGCAGATAAAGGAGCTTGCTAACAAGGTATTGATTAAGCAACTAAAATTTGCACCGTTGTTTAAGTGTTTCGGTATTTCCTAGCTTTTGTTTCTGGAAAGCACCACATACGTATTTTTAAGTCCTTTGTTGGTGTATGATATATTATTTTGTTTCTCAAACATGTCAATTACTCCGTATATATTTATATGGTACTGAAGCATTTTTTTTTAAAACCAGTCCCTGCAGCTCCTGAAGGCCGCCATCTTTGACCCTGAATGTGAGCCCTGTATCCTTATTAGTTCTTAAAGAGCATGGAATCATCTTTTCTACAAGATTGTTTTATGACTAAAAATTATGTCCCTGACAATTGAGACCTTAACTCTTAACAGTATTTTCTCTTGAAATTTATGGCAATATTATTGGAATGTTTGAACTTAATAACCTGTAAGTTTTTATCCGTGAATGTTCTTCCAAATAGATTCTTTATTAGTTCTGAATGTACGGTTGTACAGTACGGTGTAGCCCATCGTCCCATGAGAAGAGGGATTCTTCTTTTTTCACTCCTTTCTCTATGTCTTCAAAAATATTTCCCGTTTGTTCTCATGGCTATTAAGTTCATTTACATTGATGGTCCCTGACTTTCTTTATTTCCCTTTTTGATGCATTACTATAGATCACTTTTAGTCCTTTCAATCAATTATCTGGGCCAATTTTCACACCATTTCCGGTTGACTTTTGCCTGATAAGTGATCAGAAGGACCGAAGATGGAGTGTTTTCTTTACGATGTCTTAAATCATGGCTGTGACATGAATTTGAGCCTTTTGTAGGGTTATTTCTTTTGTGTATCCCATCTCACGATGTCTTAAATCATGGCTGTGACAGTGATTTGGTTGTAGAGTCTCCACTAGTGAATTATTTTCTCCACATTGATGATCTTCCAAGTTTAAAAAAGGTCAGCATTGGGTCGACCAATGTTTATTGCTATATAATGCTCTTTATATTGACAAGATTTCACTGGTCACATGAGGTTTATGTTGCAGAGAGAAGCCGAGCCAATTGTACGGCCCCTTTTTTATGCTCTTGGTGATGGCTATTCAATTTGCTGTGAAGGTTAGTTTGGTTTGCAAAACGTTGATACCCCCTTCCCCAAATATAATGCGCATTTACTTTTAGTGCGGTTCTATTGAAACCTGAAAAAATGTGATATATTTTACTAATAAATACTCCCTCCGTCCCAGTCATTTCTTCCAACTTTCCTTTTTGGACCGTCCCAATTAATTCTTCCAACTTCCACTTTTGGAAAAAATATGTGGTTCACATTCATTCACCTTTTTCTTACACAACTACAACCATAAATTTCCACTTTATTCCCACTACTATCTAAATTTGCGAGCCAAGTCAATTTAGGAAGAACTCACCGGGACGGAGGGAGTATTGTTATTCCAATAGGCTCGTACTGACGAAGCATTTTGAATATTATAGTGACTTGAAAAAAACCAAAAAACTTGTGTTGCTTAAATTAAAAAAGATGCTTTTCTTTTTTTTGGACCTATGAAAAGGTAGTACGTAGTATTACAGATAAGAATGAGATTGTGTGAGTTTGGCTTATATGTACATACATTATAATGTACTCTATACCTTTCATTTTTTCCAGTTTTTTTGTCTCGTTTCCCATGGTCCAAGAATACAGGATCAGCATTACTTATACAGTTATACTTGCACAGTCTTAATGAATGACACAGCCATCTTGCAATAGTTTAGTAAAACAAATGTAGTAATAGAAATCTTTTCTTAAAATTCAGTTTAGAATATAAGTCTCATGTTTCAAAGAAGTTGTTTAAGTCCTATGTCGTATACTCATATTAGAGAGAAGTCAAGATTAGTTGTATATGGAACTCTTGTCAAACGTGCCACTCAATTAGAAGACCTGATTTGTGGAATTCGTGGTTGACAAAACCTAAAAGATAATTGCAATCGTTGGTGTTTAGGTACTGCATTTTTTCCATTGCAGAGCTGTATGAACCATTCATGTAAGCCGAATGCCAAAGCTTTCAAACGAGAAGAGGTTAGACCAGCCTTTTTTTCTCTTTTTAGTTTTACTTTTAATATTTTAATGCCTTAAGCTTCAAGAAAATAATGAATATTTGTTTTTCCCTTAATACAAGGATTTGGATGGTCAAGCAATAATAATTGCCCTTGAACCTATACAAAAGGGAGAAGAGGTATTCTTTGATAATTTAATCTTCCAATGCGTGTTACCATGATGATCCCTGTGGGATAAAAACAAAAGTTTTGCCACTTTTAGTACTCCAACTTGAATATTTGAATATTGCACAAGAGACATTTTAGTCCACTTTGGTACTCCACTTTGAGTTTTTTCACTTTTAGTCATTTGAACATTGTGAGAGACATTTTTGGTCCTCAATTTTGAATTCTTCCATATTTAGTACTCTGACTATTGTAAAATTGACCTTTTGGGCCCTTCAACTATTATTAAAGTGAGAGTTACTGTCCTCCATTTATAGTTGCAACGACTAAAAGTCACTTTTATGAAAGTTAGAGTACTAAATATGTAAAATTTTAAAGAGGGTACTCAAAGTGTCACTCTCTTAATCAGTATAAGGTCAGGTCTAAGAGTGAAAAAATTTTAAGTACTAAAAGTCTCTGCAACATAATAGTCGGACTAAAAGTGACAAAAAAACTCTAAAACCAATTATTACTTTTATTTTTTGCCAATTTGGATTCAATATCAATTGGCCATGGATCATAAATATCCACATTTCCAGATTACTATTTCGTACATAGATGAAGAGCTTTCCGTGGAGGATAGACAAGCTTTGCTTGCAGATTATGGCTTCAGGTGTAAATGCCCCAAATGTCTTGAAGACCAATTGAGCGTGAACGATAAAACGCTGTCTGCATGTTAATTTTTTCTAATATTTTCGTAATTTTCTTTAGACTCCTTAATTATTTATCGTATGAACAGAATTGACAATTTGACAGGGCATCATCCTCATCTTAGTTATTATTATTTCTACATTTTTATTATTCAATATGGTTTTAATAAACATCTAATTTTTTTTAAGTGAACAAAACCTTGTGGTGTTCCATGTAGGCACTAAAGTCATAATCAGTTATCAGTTCTCCTAAATCTACACCCAAAAAACATTATATATAATCGTTCAAGTCATGGAATTATTTGTTTTAGTGATGACTGATGAGTCTTTTTTTTACATCACAAATTCAAGTAGAAGACACCTTTAGAAATAAGGGATTTGTGTTCTAAAATTATTAAAACAATATCAATTGATAATATATGATTGAGAAATTGTCCTAATAAGGATTAAAAACCTTTGTGAATTTCAATATAAGATTAGAGTCACACGCATTAATGACATTATCGGTGTAGTAAGGTTAGAGTTTTATTCACGTGAACTAAAGTTTCATTTTTTAAAACAATTGGTTGTGCATTAGAGCCTAGTCTCATTATTTGTAAATCTTTCCCATGGCGGATTTAGAATTTACTTTTTTAGTATATAATATTCATACAATTAAAAATTAAAGAAAATATATCATTGATTTATAACTCAATTTTTACTATACATTTGATATATAATTGATTTATAACTAAATTTTGACTATAAATTTTATTTTATTTTTATATATGTAATATTGATGTTATATGAAAGATCATAAAAAATTACTAGTATAAATTATGATATATTCTATTTTTTGTAAAAGTTGGAGTACAAAAATTTGTAGCACTTAAAAAAGATTCTTTCTCACCATTTTCTCCAAATGAGTTGGCTTGATTAAAATAAATAGTAGTGATGCACCAAGTAAAGTTGAATCAATTAAATGATTCAATAGTAGTGATAACAGAATTTTTATTAAACAATCAGAGACTGAGACATCAGTGATTTATAATTCAGTTAGAATTTTAGATTTTTTATTAAACAATTTTAAACCTGATCAAATAGAATATATCGATACAACAAAACATCAGCATGACTCAAGTGCACGCAAAGGCTCCCCCACCTACGTTGTGGTAAGGAGGATCATATGTACGCATCCTTAACCCTTTACTAAAGTACAAAGATGTTGTTTCCGGATGATCCGTCATGAAAATCACATCGAAAACTGCATGGATTGACTGATGATTCATAACGAAGAAGCACATACAGTTTATTCCATCATTTTCTTTAGTAAAAAAATAGTGAGTCTTGATCCATAAATTAAAATATATCCATCTAACTACAAATTCTAATCCGAACAACGCTACATGACTATGCTTAGAAATAAAATGTTCAGAGCTGCTTCTTTTGTTGTTGTTGGATGAAATGTAAATTTCAGAGCTGCTTCTTGTACATGCCCTATGTGGCTATGTGTAGTGTGTACACCACCGTACACGCCCCCATCTTGTGGACAAACAATTTTTTGATTTTGTAAGAGGAATTGCCCGAGACACCTATAAAAAATATTGTTTGTATTTTCCTTAGGGTCGTTTTTTAGTGGGTTCAATAGGTTATCTAGAACATGATCTCTGAATTTATGGGGCCCCAATTTTTTATAAATTTATTAATATTATGTAGTAATATTATACGGAGTACATAGTGATGGATAGTGTACCCGGGGGTAGCTTATCCGAGGGGTTATTGCGAAGAATAACTAGAGAGAAGTCAGAGCAAATAAGTAAGAGAGAGAGTGTATATTCGATATGTATTAAGCGTGGTTTACAATGGGGGAAAGGGGTGCTATTTATAGTAGTAATAAATGCTAGATAAGGACACGTGTCAGTTTTCTGGTGGTCGAGGGGTCACCTCGACCGGGGTGGCACTGGCACTCGCATGTGGCCGCATTAAATGCGGTGGTTGGATGTGACGTTTGTACTTGGTACGGTGATCCAGGCGCATGTGAAGAGGATATTCTGTCGAGGTGGATGCCTTCAGCTGAAGGGTGCTGGGCCGAAGGCTCTTCTAACTGAGGGCTCCTACCTGCCGAGGGCTGCAGGTGCCGAAGGCTTGGTTTTCAAGCCTTGTTCTCCTGTGATGCCTCTTCTAACCGAGGGCTCCTACCTGCCGAGGGCTGCAGTTGCCGAAGGCTTGGTTTTCAAGCCTTGTTCTCCTGTGATGTTTCTGAGCTCGATTCCGTCACTGGTAGCCTTCGGCCATGGGGCCGAAGGCACCCCTTTGCGTATTTTGGGCTGCTTAGAGCTCCATTTTGCTGGGCTTGGCCCGTTTGGGTCTGTTGGGCCTGATTGTAGTAGAGGAAGTATGTGGGTCGGGGGTCCCTGTGCCATATACTCCATCAGGAGTCCCCCACTCCTTTTGCCGAAAGGTACTTGAGGGAAAAGGAGTAGCTGTGGTGATTGCCCCGAAAGCTTCCCTGTTCTGTTGGGTGCCTCATTTTCTCAATTCCCCCATATGTCGAGGGCTGAGAGCTTCCTGAAGGGAGTGTAAGTGTGTTGCTCGTATGTGTTTCTTTGTTGTAGTTTGTAAAGTAATGAGAGATCTGCATTTGTGTGCTTTGCCGAGGGCATTTGTTGACTGAAGGCATTGTGTGGTTGAAGGCATCATGTGGCCGAAGGCATTGTGTGGCCGAAGGCATTGTGTGGCCGGAGGCATCATGTGGCCGAAGGCATCATGTGGCCGGAGGCATCATGTGGCCGAAGGCATCATGTGGCCGAAGGCATTGTGTGGCCGGAGGCATCATGTGGCCGAAGGCATTGTGTGGCCGGAGGCATTCTGTAAGCCGAAGGCATCATGTCGAGGGGAGTAGATTGCCGTTGTGATCTTGCCTCAGCTTGCTATAGCTGAGAAATAGAAATTTTTTAACATTTGCGTGTTTTGCCGAGGGGAGTCCCCCAGTCCCCCACTCCTTTTGCCGAGAGTTTCTCGAGGGAAACAGGAGTAGAGTGATGCATGCCTTCAGCAGGAGCCGCCGAGGGGTGACGCCTTTTGTTCCACAATGGGGAGATGCCTCGTTAAAAACCTCATTATGAAAAAACCCTGTGGGAAAAAATCCTAATGAGGGAAAAAGAGTACACCGGATGCCCCCAGAATGAAGCAAAAGGAATGCACCCTTCGGCCTAGATTTTTGAGCGGTGGTTGTGTCCGTCTGCTGAGGGGATATCCAAGACCAGCCTTAGATCTTGCATGAAAAAGATGAGGAGCTTGTAAGGACCCCCCCGTTATCGAATAAAGGTGACGGAGGGGTGCAAGGCCAGGTGGGCCTGTGTGAGAGCCCCTGACATCAAATACAGATGCCGGAGGGATGGAGACCGAGGGGCCTGTATGATAGCCCCTGACATCAAATAAAGATGCCGAAGGGATGAAAGCTAGGCCGAGGGGCTTGTATGACAGCCCCTGGCATCAAATAAAGATGCCGGAGGGATGAAGGCCGAGGGACCTGTGTGATTGCCCCCGACATCAAATAAAGATGCCGGAGGGAGGAAGGCCGAGGGCCTGTATGATAGCCCCTCGCATCAAATAAAGATGTCAGAGGGATGAAGGCTAGGTCGAGGGACCGGTATGATAGCCCCCAACATCAAATAAGGATGCCGGAGGGATGAAGGCTGAGGGCCTATATGATAGCCCCTAGCATCAAATAAAGATGCCGGAGGGATGACGGCCGAGGGACCTGTATGATTGCCCCTGACATCAAATAAAGATGTCGGAGGGATGAAGGTCGAGGGCCTGTATGATAGCCCCTGGCATCAAATAAAGATGCCGGAGGGATGAAGGCTGAGGGCCTGTATGATAGCCCCCAGAATCAAATAAAGATGTCGGAGGGATGAAGGCCGAGGGACCTGTATGATTGCCCCTGACATCAAATAAAGATGTCGGAGGGATGAAGGCCGAGGGCCTGTATGATAGCCCCTGGCATCAAATAAAGATGTCGGAGGGATGAAGGCCGAGGGACCTGTGTGATGGCCCCCGACATCAAATAAAGATGTCGGAGGGATGAAGGCCGATGGGCCGTTAGTGATGTGAAATCACGCTAAGGGCAACACCGTTATGACATAGAGTCATGTTGAGGCCGAGGGCCGCTGTGATGTTGAATCACGCTGAGACCGAGGGCCTTTGGTGATGTGAAATCACGCTAAGGCCAAAACCGTTGTGACGTAGAGTCACGCAGAGGCCGAGGGCCATTCTGGTGCCGAGGGCCGTTGTGATGTGGAATCACGCTGAGGCCGAGGGCCGTTGTTGATGTAGAATCACGTTGAGGCCGAGGGCCTTTGGTGATGTGAAATCACGCTAAGGCAAAAACCGTTATGACGTAGAGTCACGCTAAGGCCGAGGGCCATTCTGATGTTGAGGCCGAGGGCCGTTGGTGATGTGGAGGCCGAGGGCCGTTCTGATGTTGAGGCAGAGGGCCGTTGTGACATAGAGTCATGTTGAGGCCGAGGGCCGTTTTGATGTTGAGGCCGAGGGCCTTTGTGATGTGGAGGCCGAGGGACGTTCTAATGTTGAGGTAGACGGTCGTTGGGACGTAGAATCACGTTGAGGCCGAGGGCCTTTGGTGATGTGAAATCACGCTAAGGCAAAAACCGTTGTGACGTAGAGTCACGCTGAGGCCGAGGCCCATTCTGGTGCCGAGGGCCGTTGTGATGTGGAACCATGCTGAGGCCGAGGGCCGTTGTTGATGTAGAATCACGTTGAGGCCGAGGGCCTTTGGTGATGTGAAATCATGCTAATGCAAAAACCGTTGTGACGTAGAGTCACGCTAAGGCCGAGGTCCATCCTGATGTTGAGGCCGAGGGCCGTTGGTGATGTGGAGGCCGAGGGCCATTCTGATGTTGAGGCAGAGGGTCGTTGTGACGTAGAGTCATGCTGAGGCCGAGGGCCGTTCTGATGTTGAGGCCAAGGGCCTTTGTGATGTGGATCCAGAGGGCCTTTGTGATGTGGATCCCGAGGGCCTTTGTGATGTGGAGGTCGAGGGCCATTCTAATGTTGAGGCCGAGGGCCTTTGTGATGTGGAATCACGTTGAGGTCGAGGGCCGTTGGTGATGTGAGATCATTCTAAGGCCAAAACCGTTGTGACGTAGAGTCATGCCGAGGCCGAGGGCCGTTCTGATGTTGAGGCCGAAGGCCTA